TTTTTTTCCAAGACTTGCAACAAGACCCTTTTTTAACACCAACCATGAATTCAAGTATTTTCATTTAGCGATTTTGACCAGAAATATAGCTGAGTTAAAATATCTCGCTCCGATGGTATAAATTCGGCGCGCAGAAGACAAGTTCTGATATTTGACGCAAATTTGTATCCTGTCCTAAAATGAGTTTATTGACAGATGAACTGACAGAAAGCGATTAATGTGCACACCTGAGGTGCGCAAGGAAATGTGTCAAGACTAACGCCTTGTAGTTACTTGAGTCCAGTTTGTGGGTATCTCCATGGAAATTAAGGATCCCTGGTGCGTGCACGAAAATCGACCTTGCGGCTTGTGATGCGGAAAGAGGACTCAGAAAAATTCACACTTTCGTAATATGCATCTAAAATACCGTATTTTTTCGATTAAACACCGCCCTCGAATAAACGCCACACCTAATCAGAGGAATGCGGCGTTTATTCGAGGATAATAAGAAAGACCTTGGAACAAATTGGTAATTTACACCATCCAGATATTTCATGCTATCCCAGCAAATTAAGTGTAACATTGCAATATTTAAATAACATAATATAATTATTTTTACAAACGACCACAATAACTGTTTTCAGTGATCTAAATTGTGATTTCGAAATATATGTATACGCCACCCTTGAATAAACGCCGCATTGGGAACGCTAAAAATCTAATAAACGCTGCGGCGTTTAAAGGCGAATAAATACGGTATGCATCTAAGACTTTTGGAGTAAACAATACCAAAGCCCTTGCTATTTCGAAAGGACTCAAATGTTCCTAGGATGACCGAACAGACACAAGTTTTATAGCGCCGCTTAGAAAGCACCTGAAAAGAGCTTTCAATGTTTTTACGTTGAGTACTCTTGATATAGCAACAAAGGAAATAGGAGATGTTTGCCCGTAGGCCAGTAAATGGGATGCCTATACGGGAATGTTGCAAATGAATGTACCCTAATCAGAACGAAAACAATGCGTCCTTTGGTTATATCAGGGGCACCCAACGAGAATATAGCTAAAAACTACTTAAACATAGCATTGTAAACGTATTTTAGTATTTAAACGGTAGATATAGGCATATTTTTACCCCCTAAAAATTTTTCATCTGTTCGGATCTCCTAGCTGAAAGTCTAGTGATCCGAAAATTATAGGGATCAAAACTTACCTTTTCGAAAATTTCCGTCAGAAAAAAGACTCCCGAAAATTCTAGGTGACCTTTTTAGGGTAAAAATTCGTTAAAAATGGGCAATTATACCATTTTTTAGATGTTCGAGAATCCTAGGAAAGGCAGGCTAGCAAGAAATTTTTCAAAAAATGTTCCGAAAATTCTAGATCTCAAATCGTCTTCCGAACAGCTATTTTCCAAAAATTGACGTTGGGTGCCCCTGTTAAATAAATCAACACCGAATATGCCAAAAAATAACAATGCTACAACGTAAATATGTGAAATCATGTTAGAATCTGTTTTTCCCGACAACCTAGGTGTACGTACGAGAAGAAAAGTTAGCGCCCCGAAGGAGCCCTAACCAAGGTGGTCTTGTGACATGCTCCTCCATTTAGGGACTCTGAATTGCCATCTCCTGCGTTTTCCGCAGGAAATTTCCAGCAAATAAAGACGAAGGAAAATTTAGCAGTTGTTTTTTCAGGGGCACCCAACGGTGGTTTCCGCCTACTTAAATTGTAAACACTTTTTAGGCTATCGAGGGTACTTTCAGATCTCCAGAAATGTATTCTAAGAGGCGTTAAAAAAATTATATCTGTTCGGTCATCCAAGGGCAACTTGAATCTTTTCGACAATGGCTTCAGTAATGTTTTCCCGAAAATTTTAGCTGCAATTTAAAGTTTTACGAAAGAGAGAATTTTTCTGATTCCTCTCTGGATCGTATTTCCGATTCCGAAAATTTTAGGTTTCCTTTCTCTACGAAAAATAGCTTAATCTTGGGGAAATGGGAAAAGTTTAACTTCAGAAAATCGTAGGGTATTTCTTACATAAGTCTGGAAACCGTGTACATTAATGGAACGGTGATCCAGAAAGCTATAGAACTGATTCTAGGCAACTTTTGCTTCTCCGAACAGATATTTCACAGAAGACAGTCGTTGTGTGCCCCTGTTTTTTTTTTTACCCACCTCGTGTTATCAGTGAGTTACAGTGACTTTACGGGAAAAAGGGCAATAGTGACGTAATTAACAAGGTAACAAGCAATGGGCGAGATGTGTGCCCTTCAGGCGGGCAAACTCTGTACAACGCCATCAATATCAATTGACCACTCAAGAAAATATCATAACATACCATAATGCTCTTTGTTTGTCACCCCAAAATTTTGCATAAGCATTGTCTTCAGTTTCTCTTGGGAGTTAAAATGGTCCCAAGAGAAACTGAAAACAGTTTTGGGGTGAAGAACAAAGAGCATCATGGTATGTTATGGTATTTTCTGGAGTGGACAATTAACGTCCTTCCGTTTGTGAATGTGCAGAATTTTATAACAGCTGAATGTATCCTCTCTTATGGTCCGTCGTAAAGGAGTTTTAAGTCTCTTCATAATGCTAAAGCTAAGCTCGGCTAACTATGAACAAACGAAAGTATTTACATAAGAAAAGAGTTCAATTCCCACAGGGTTGTCTTGGTACACCAACATGGCCGCCGTTTCATTGTTTTGGAACACCTGTGTGGGCGCCGTGACGTCATGTGAGTACGCTCTTCACCAGGATAGAATTGGGGATTAGCATACATCCGTAGCCAAAAGACTCAACCAAGATCGGTGGCTTCAAATTGGGATCCATTTCTCTCCACATAAAAAAAAGATGAAGAAAATAACAAGACAAAGACAGCAACAAAAAACAATGCAAAAAATTTATCAGTCATCCGGATTTTATGATAAAAATGCTTTAAGGAAATTTAAAAAAATCCAGATTTCAGTTGTACGCACGGGCGTATGTCGGCGTGTGTGGACGCTCACTCCTGATATGAATTCCAATGTGATACATAATTTGAAGGGATAAGCAAAAACGGATGAAAAAGAACTGTCGTCTAGTAGCGCTCGAGACGTGGGAGAAACAGCACTTGGTCCAGATCTGAGCAAAAAGATATTGCTTAGGGTTTAAACGTGCTGTGCAAGTTAAAGGAAAAAATGGTGTCGTAAAAAAGTCACGTGACTCGCAACGTTTTAGGGCAAAATTAGCCGACCCTCGTGAAATCAATGAAGAACAAAATTCAACATTCAATGAAACCCAAAACCATTATAACAGCATTTTTATAAATCTATATTCTATTGCTTTTTCCTATAATCCTACAGGTTTTAGTATATACTTCTGAAACTCAACATCTCTTGTTACTCAGAATCCATTAATGCTGTAACAACTATTGCTACAAGATTGCGACACCGTAATAGCTCAAACTACGGACAGAGTATTTAAGGGTAAAACATGACTAGAGCCTTCCACCCAAAGGTCGTCTAGATGACTGAAATAATCGTCGTTATACCGGGAACATCGTTATATCGAGGATCGTTATATCGGGGTTCCACTGTTTTGGCCAACCGATTTTTTTTCTGATTTCATTCTACGGACAAAAGACGGTAAATCTAAAAAACCTGCCCTGTAAAAGCGACGACCTTAAATTTAAGAAAAACGACAGGAGCAGATATATTCAAATGAATGGCACTTTCCATCCCAACATTACTCTTATCTGTGAGTAAAGACGACGAATAACATGAAACCAACGTTTCTAAACTATAAGCTAACGCAATCTTACCTAGGCAATCAAATAACGTGTCTATATCGTTACCATGAAAACGGTAAAATACTCTCATATAGAAATTTGTTTTATCCTGCGTAGCCAACAGTTTCTTTGGAGCACGATAGCATGACCTTTACTCACTCGCCATCGCAGTTGTCCCTTTCGTTAACGGTGGCTGAAAAATTATTAGTTATTTATTGAGAGTGTTTCTATTAAAAAGAAAGAAAATCGAATCTCTCTTACCACTACACTACCACACCGTCCCGCCAAAATTTCGAAAAATTTAAGTAAATCCACTAGCAAACTGTCTTTCTTAACTATTACATCAATAACAGGTGACCCTAGCCCTTTCCGTAACATTGAACGAAAATTCAACTTGGGCTTCAAAGTCGCTCTTTCTAACACTATTCAAAAACGTATTATTTGACTTAATGTAACTTAATCCAGGGAATATATTACATCTATCATGACTAAAGACTTGGTTACCAATGCTGGGAAATAGGTCTCGCCGTAGCCGTGACGAGAAAAAACAAGAGAACGAAACGAAATCTTCTTCCCTCCTCGCAATTTCTCTTCTCGACGTGTTCTCACTTGAATCTGAACAACAAAGCTTTTTACATTTTTTTTTAAACAAGAGCGCTTAAATCATCATTGTTGATGCTTCCTAGGTTCTCAAAATGCAGAATTCTCTGGCCACCCTGCTTTCGATATTTGATAAGAGACGGGTTACGAAGCAGTGTCACAGCGACGTGCCAGCGGTTGGCTGCTTTACAAGTCATGCGTGGAAGACGATTCTCTCGAGTGTAACCTGAATATGAAAAAGAAACGAAAAAATTATTAAGCGTCCCTTGCCCAACAAAAATTCAGGATGTTTATTCTTAACGAAGGATAATGGTCCTCTCCCATCATACTTTAAGCCTCCTTTGTTGCGACTGTGAACTTGCATTTGAAGAAGTAAGGAGATGTTTTAACACAAAAAGTATAAGTTACATTCATTTCCCTGAACAATAACAGGAAAGAGAACAAGAGCTGACGAAAGTCAGAAAAATCTGGGGGCGCGAGATTCTGTCATGGACTTGGAGTGAGAAATCAGGCTCTAATATTTACGTATAAATGACGAGGAAATACATACAACTCCCTTCGTCTGACTCAACATCAGATTCGAGTGGTTGGATTTGCGGAAGAGACTCTTCGAGCCAGCGATCTTTATTTCTTTTAATCAGCAGTTGACAGAACACGAGCATCACGGGATGGCTGTGCGCCACAAGAACGTTGATAAATCCAAGGTACGCTACGAAGGCTTAATGGAAACAGAAAAAACGTGAGGTAAGTTATAATCACTCTCTATGTATTTTATAGTGCACTAAAGTATGCAGTCACGGGCTGAGGTTAGCAAAAAAGCGATAGAAAAACTTGAAGATAATAGGGTTCTATAAAGAACTGTAGAAGTACTGATTTATTTCATAAACATCTATCACAAAGTACTGTAGAGTTGTATGAATCAGAAGCCGTAAACAGTTGATCAAGTTTTTTGCACTTATAATTAAAACAACAACGTTAAAATGACTAAGCATGGTTCTCATACATGTATGTTGCCAACCTATGTGCGACATAGCCACCGTTACTACCTGCCATGGGTTACTTTTCGGAAATATGGGGCCTGTCACTGGCAACACAGGCCCTCACAACTCTCTAAAGCCGGTATGCTTGCGAAGTTCTGGGGTCAACTTCCCAAGCGCGTTAGCAGTAACGAATAGTTTGGCATTTTTGCATCTTCATCATCATTGAAATCGTCATTTTTATCGTCATTATCTTTATCATCATCTTCATCATCATTATCATCATCATCATCATTATCATCGTCGTCGTCGTCGTCGTCGTCATCATCATCATCATCATCATTATTACTTCAATTATGTGTACGTACCCTGGTCCAAAGTCTGGAATCCCTGCATCAGCGATGTCCGGTCAATACGAGACAAAAACACAGTTCCCAGGATCATTCCTTTCAAAATGCGAATGACGCAAGCAAACAATCCAACAATTACGTTGTAGAAGAAAAAGAAGTATGACATAATGGAAAATAATCGTCTGAAATAAAAAAAAAAAAACAAAAAAACAACGAGATCGTTAAAAAGTTTACATTTAGAACAAAAACAAATGCTATTCCTTATCTCTAGACCTGTCAATTTTAATAATTTCCTTTAATATATTTCTAAGTGAAAAGGAAAAAACTTCAACCCAGGCCAGAACGTTTGGGACAAAGTGTTCTAAACGAGTTTATGATATACGACCACAAAGCTTCCTGGGATCGTTTAGAGGGACACCATAAAAGATTACCCTGATAGGGCACTACAACTATTGCGTTCCAAATTGCAGACCTTAAGATTCTAAGACGAGTTCCACTACGAGTACGAGATTTCCTCAATAGTAAGTAGTGCGTTCGCGTGAACCAACATCATTTTGGCGGGAAAACTTGGTAGCCGTCGTCATTCTACTGCGAATTTTAGCGAGAATGTCGTAGTGGCGGGAACAAGTTATAAAATGTTAGAAGTTTAATCATTTTGTGATCGAGAGAGGGCTTAACCTCCTTCAATAAATATAACAGTGCTATATTTTCTAATGAAAAAAAAGTACAATGAAGCTTTTCGGGGCGTCTATCTTTTGAGAATACGCGAAAAAACTTTAAGTTGAATCTCGTAGTCGTATTCGTTCTCGTCCTCGAATTTAAAGGTCACTTAAGAATCTTCACTATAACAGAATTCAAAAATATCCTGATGCAGCAGGTACGTCGTTTTCAGTTAGAATAACCTTGGCAGCGTCTTCAACAGTTGGCTTGCTACTGTCCCCCATGCTTTCCTCTAATCTTTCTCTAAATTCATCGCCGTCACTGTCGTCACATTGTCTTTTCTAAATCTGCATAATATTGGGTGTATACAGTCTCAAGACATACAGTGGTAGGGTATAAATGTACCTGTTATCCACAGTAACGGTTATGTCTGGAAAATCTCTGTTTCGGAAAACGAAGTGAGCTAGGAACAACTGGAACACCACCAAGAAAACAACCATGCTCACTGTTGGTCTGTTAACGAAAGTAAGAGTGGTTAATCTAAAAATAAGAAACGTTTCCCTAATGACAGCTTTCACGACGGACTGGATAGACTGATTTTGATGACGGATTATCCGTCTCTAGGGTGAAAACGGCTAACAATCGGCACTTCAGAATAATGGGACACAAAGCCCGTTTTCATACTACTGACGTGGATGTATTGTCCATGTTTTTTAGCCTCAGAAAAAAGCCGACATTTTGCGACGCCACCAGGATGCTTTCCTCGCGAAATGAGGACTGAAGGACGAGCGCAGAAATTCCATCCTGAGGGTAGTGACATGTTATCAGTATGGAATTTCTTCGCTCGAAGAAGAAACTGTTGGTTGCTTCGCGAAACGTCGACTGTTTTCCCAGGCTTCATGTAAAAATAAAGAAAAATAAAGAGACGAGTACAATCATACCAAGAAGGGATGGCCAGGCAGATTATTCGCCCAAAATTAAAAACCGTCCCATTTTCACACACGGATTCCTTGTCTGAGATGAATTATCCAACGGATAATCCGTCGAGATGGACAATACTCGTCAAAAATGCCAAAGTTTTGAGTGCCCTACGGGATTCCATTCTCCAACATCCCAAACACCCAACGGCGCTTTATCCACTTGAGATATGGGAAAACTAGAGAAAAGTTAAAGGCTGTATACCAGGTACAAATGGGACATACGCTTAACGGGTTTATGCAAGATATGATACGAATGTACACGAACTGATTGCAATCATGACCTTTTAACTATCTGAGTCCGAGGTTTTCTGAAGTCTACTCTTCTCACTAGACACGTGGAAGTTTTCTTGTAGAGGCTCTATTGGATAATTGCAGTAACAAAGTATTCAAGCTAGAAAAGGTACTCGAAAAGCGAAGCAGCAATGGGCGAGGCCCTTCACCGAGGTTCATGAAGACCGCCCTTCTATTATTCGACTCCGAAAAATTGAGATGGACTAAGAAAATCGTGTAACGATAACGTTTTAACTTACAGAAATGCAATTATCATCTGTTTGTAAGCATTCCACATCTCTGGTGACAAAAAAATCTTCACGTACTTGAAGATAATTGCGAGAAAAACACACACAAAAGCCAAAAAAATGGACAAGATGACGTAACCTACAAAAATTAAGCAAACAGCGAAGCATATTATAAATAAAAAAACCCCTTGAATTTCTGTAAGACTATAAGCTGGGCATAAGTTGGGTTTATTGCTCTCTTGACACTGCATTCACTGTAGTCACTACATTCTGGTCTTCAGCTGGAGGCTGCGATCCTTTGGTTCAGAAACAAAGGATTCATCATCATCAGTATCGTCGACATGGTCGTCATTTCAATTTAAAAAAACATGTAATTTTAGTTCAATTAAAATTTCATTTTGGATAGCGGTATCCTGAAGGCATGTAAACGCGTGAACTGTGTGTACTGAAAATTCAAAATTCATTTACTCGACTACCGTTCACCAATCGTTGTTATCTTGATTTTTTTGTTCGCACTTTTTGGGCAAAACAAGCTTTTTATAATCCTCTGGGAGTTGTTTTTGAAGCTGTTTAAAACACTCTCGACACGTTAACAAGATGATTCTTAGCCTGCGTGGTAGGCGTTTGAAAGGGAAGGGAAAGGGAGTTTTAGGTGCGAGAGAAACGCGAGGGGCGCGCTCCTCGCGCCCAAAACCCCGTTTCCCTTCCCTTTCAAACGCCTGCCACGCAGGCTAGATGCTTATTTACTCAATCAAGTTATTGCCTACCTAACAAAAACATCAATGCCTTCCTTTAACCATTTTTCTCCAAAATGTGATTAAGAAGGGACAACGAACTTGAAGTTTTTGGGTGCATTATTTGTTAAGGTAGTAACATTTTGCACACTCACGCTAACTTTAGTTCGTAACTTTATGTTCGCAACAGAAAACATATGGAACCTGAGTCATCCCAGTCGTCTGTCAGTCTCCTATTAATAATAGGGATCTTAAGATCATAGGAAGGCGACGGCAGCGAAAACGTCGCTTAAAAAGTGAGTTCTTTTCTTTCATCGCGATTATTCCAACTCACTAGCACCTTATCAAATGTATGCGAACTTTCCTGGGGTTGAATTCACAAGAACCATATCCTAGTTCACTAAAAAGAAAATTTCGACGTCGCTTGTTTACGTCCTCCAGAAAAATTGAAATCAGGAATTTTAATGTCGTAGTCGTGCAGTGACGGCAAAAAGATGTACAAAAATCGTGATGCACGTGTAGACATGTTGTTTTGCCTATTAAACCTATTGCTTTTTTACGTTCTCGTTGCCGTCGCCGTCGCCGCATCTTAAAGTCCTTATTAACGAGAGAAGTGCAGTCAAGGGGAGCGCGAGGGGTGATGGGAAGGAGGAATGAGGGAAGACACTCCCTTTTTTACTCCTTCCCATCACCCCTTGTGCTCGGTTCGGTCAAGCTTTTCGTGTTCCATCCTCCGCGTGCGATCCAAATAGAGACGACTGGAGACCAGTTAGATATAGAGCAGCAAGCTCCTCCCCCGTAAGCCCCAGGAGAGCTTGCTCGCGTTATAAATAGGCTGGTGAAGGTGACAATGTTTGTATGTCTCTCAGTCGCCAACTCTCTCTCGGGTTTATGAAAACGACAACTTCTCATACCTGCCAGTGTATGGGCGATCTGATACCCAGAAAATCTGAGGCTTCTCCCCTGCAACGTAACAAAACAAAGCTTAGCTAAGCTTGTACACATTATATGTTGATAGCATCCACTATTCCCATGCCCAAGCCAAACCTTTATAGTTTTTGCTAGGTTACGATGATGTAGATGTTACAGAATGTGGTACTGCTCAGCATCTGTGACATTATTCAAATGGCCACCATCTGGATTTTTTTAGAATAATCCAAACTTTGCCAAGTACTGCTTAGTTGAAAAATCTTTCACAATTGGAAAAACCGAAACACAAGCATTTTTGCTCTCATCAAAATTGTAACAATTCCAAAATTGCATTCAACAATTGCAAGTGTAACATTGAAGGGTAGAGGAGAAAATAATTCATTTAAAAGATTATCATCAAAGGATTCAAATTATCCCCGATGACAATCAATCAATCAGTCAATCAATAAATCTATTTAACTACGCTAGCCACACACAACAAAAGCTGATTTCTAGTTGGGGCGTAGGCAAAGACACAGTCATTACAAAAAAATAGAAGACTGACTTACAAGAAGAAGAATGACTTGTAAGTTTAATCTACGGCTAAGGCTACCTTTTCATGGCACCGGACAAATTCTTGAAAGTCCGTGCAATTCGGTGTTTCGGTACACACGTATTGTATTTGTATTTTATTTTTTACTCCATTCTATAGATAATACATTAGTTGTACAATATTAATTAGTACAAGGTTGTTTAAACTACGTGTACATAAGAAAAATAAAGAAAAATAAAATTAGAATGGAGAAGGGCACATTATAGTAAAACTGATTATGGCGCTTTAACAAGATTGACTTTATTCTATTACAGCGTTGTTATTCATTAAAACACAAACACGCACACACGCACACACACACGCAAACAGGAACTCTTACACGAAAAACTAAAGTATTTAAACACACAAAAAAGGTAACAAATAACACTAAACTAGCCAGCTTCAAAAGTCGCGGCCATCATCATCGGTACACACGGAACCACCATTACCGTGGGAAAGTTTAGACGCCTAGCCGTTCAAGATTCGATGTTAACAGAGCGAAAATATTGAACTGTTCGGTGTGAACGAAGTGGCCGGTCATATTTTCAGCGGGTCGAAAATTCGTCCGGTGCAGTATGAATGTAGCCTCGGGGTTCATTTACATGAACATTATGTCTATACCTACCACTAGTTTAGCGGGGGACATATCAACACCTTGGTAGACGGTTCTCTGACCTCTATAAAGCTGGAGCACGTGATCTCTTAAACGCATGGAACAAAAACGATTAAAACCTTTTAGTATATACTAAAACAGTGGATAGTGTTTTTCGCGCGCTCTTATTGGTTACTCAATCAGTGAATATCCTGCACTGTTCACTGATTCACCTCCAGTTCCTCCGAGTGAGCGATGCGTAAGGTGCGAGCAAAATGCCTTCCCGGTTTGCTGTCGTAACAAACAAAGAATTTCACAACTAATCAAGCAAGCTGTTCCCGAAATACACGGAGAAGGTGATGAAGTTCGGTTTGGAAATTTTAACAGGTATAAAACTTTGTCTTTTTTATCGATAAAACCGGTGAAAAAGTTTTTTGTTTACAAATGCAAATTAAGCTTAAGCCCTGCGTTACTTTATTTAGTTGACTTGTTCATAAATAAACTTAAACCTAAATTTAATCGTCCTTTTTACAGAATGATTTTAAATACACAAAGAATTCGCAACCCCTTTTGAAGAAATTTCCCCGCAAGACCTAAACAAATGCCTTCAAAAGTTTTATTTGTCGGCAAGAAAAAGCGACGACCGCGGCCGCTCGGTCATTGCGCGCCAAAATTGTAATCGTTCAACAGTAAATGAGTTAAAAATCATCATTTTTGTGCTCAATTATCTCACTGTTTTAGTATATACTAAAACAAATATTCACCTCAGTGTCGGTGGCTAGTGGTGGATGATTTACCTCGCCGCTTCGGGGGCTCGTTAAATAACTACCGCTAGCCACCTCCACTTCGGTGAATAATTGTTATTTAGTTTAGAAAATTCCAAAACTGAGAGCAAAAATATAGACAACGAAACGAAGTCACTCAGACTTCGATTCATCAGCGTTGGAAAGAGTGAGATTAAAACCATACACTAGTCACAAAAAGAAGAAAATTTCAACTGAATTTGAGCTTTCCGCCATTTTCAAGTTGGCAGGATGACGACACGCTTTATCCAGCATGGCGGCTTATAAAGTTGAATTTTCACATGTTTGTAAGAAAAATCTCGCTGGTAAGGACGGCATCTAAAGGCTTAGAAAATGGCAACTAACTTAGCTTTTTACCTGTTTATCTGTGTGTAGAGAAATAATGGAAGGTATTGTGAAGGGACATTAATCTGTCTTAATTACAAAATCGTCCACTCTATTAAAGTAGGAATTGTATAATGAGACAAAGCACAGTTTCCGTAAACAAGACGTGTCCGTAAGAATACTCAATAGATTTAACTACTAGTACGTGTAGATGTCCAAAACAACAACATAAAAGACAAAAAGCGTACCGATGGCACTTTATAAAGTGTAAGAGGCTTATGACGGATATTAAAGCAGAGATAATGCCAGCTGCTTGAAGGCTACCTGAAAATTAGAAATATCCCAAAGGTTAAAATAGAGCTATAAGGCTATGACCTTTCCCAGTGTAAGGGAGAGCTTATATGTTTGCGCATTTGGGCACTGGGTTTGCCCAGAAAAAATAATTAAACGAAACCTTTTATTTGTTTTCGGGATTTAATTACAGAATTATAGGTGAATGCTCACAAATACCCGGCCTGTCATTTAGCTTCCCGAGTCTTTAAAAGGTACAGCTAAGCAAACTTTGCAAGGATTGATATGGGGTTCCACTAGCTCTGAAGAGCTGAAAATACGCAGAATGTAAAGTATAATACATCCTTTGATGAACGTCCTATTGGTGTGTCTAAATTCCTCAATCTTGCTGTGCACTGGCCCTCAAAAGTGTGGCCGGTCGGTATGATTGCCCATAAAATTTGCTCGAAGATAGAAAGGAATCTTTAAAGTTCATTACACCAGTGAATGTTTCTTTCCAAAAAAGTACTTAAGTCTAGTTTTCTATGACAATAGGGACCTTCAAATCTCAGTATTTCCGTGATAAAATCGAAATTTTTATCCGTCTCTTCGATGAACACTTTGCTCGCCATTCTTACTGACGTGAGACGTGACGTCATACTGGCAGGCGGACTGTACCACAGATTTCCTTGGAGACACCTCCCCCCCCCCCCCCCCCCCAAACCGCAAAAAAAAAGGGGGAAAATGGTGGTTCCTTTTTTTTTGTAGTAAAATTTTTTGTTCTTAAAAAACTTTTTTTACAAGGGGGGCGTTTTGAGTATTGCTACAATGGAAAAAAGAGTCGGGCTGACTTTTTTGCCCCCCTGCGCACCCACCCAAACAGAAAAAACACACCACACATTTTTTCTTCGGTTCTCCATTTTTTCCGTTATAAATCCAAATTTTTTTTCCGCTTCTCCGAGAAACACTTTCCCCGCATTTTTAACTGCCGGGGGACGGGACGCCATCCTGCCAGGCGGCCTGAACCACAGTTTTCCTGGGAGACCCCCCCCCCCCCCACCCACCTGAATCTGAAGAAAAGAGAGGAGAAATGTGTCGTTCCGTTATTATGGTAGCATAATTTCTAGATCTCAAGAATCTTTCTTGACAGAGGCGGCTATTTGCATTATCGAACGATGGAAGAAACGTATGGGCTGACGTTTTGCTCCCCAGTGCAACCATGCACACGAAAGTAACACATGCCAATTTTTTCTGCCATATTTGCAGGACTGCGGATTGCCGAGATCCAGAAGTTTTTCAACCGGGGTAGAGGAGGGTGGTTTCTGCCGAGGTGGATTACTCTCTCCGCAAGGCGGTGCTATTTATTCCCATAAAAAGGGCTGATTTTTGGCAGGTTTCTAAATATGCTAACCAATCCCATTCGAATTTTTGTGACGTCGCACTTCTCTTCTCTGCCGTTTAGAACAAGGTCTTAAAAGAGACATCGGACATTCACTTTGAATGGACAGTAAAACGCTAAAACAAGTATTAAATTGGGCTTTTTATGATGTGAAGAATTATACTTTTCTTGAGAATAAATATCTACATCTAGTATTTTACACCTACCGTAGAAAACACCCAAAAACTCTAAACAGAAATCGTTTTTACACAAGGGCCTTGAAATCTTCTTTAAAAGATCCAGGAATCCTATACATGCAACAGTAACCTGGAAGGAAACAATTTCATTTCGA